GTAACAGTAATTCATTTTCATTCAAGTTGTGAATAAAAACTTATTTGGAATGGAAGAAACTCACTTATTACCATTACATTCTTTAACTCAAGAAATTGATATCGAGTCTGACTCTTCAATTAGTTCAGACGACGAAGTAATTGAAAATGTTATTCAAATGCTTGATAATGTAATAGATTTAACGGATATTACCAACGAATTACAAGACAATGAAGAAGATGATGATCAACAACAAGCTGAAATTGACATTCCAATATCTTCCATGAGTGATACAACAACTAATCTGATTCAACCAACAAAATCTCATTACAGCAACGACAAATCCATCGAAAATTCTTCTTCAAAACGTCGATCTTGGACTGTTCAAGAAAAACTAAATGTTATCAATGCATTTAAAAAATGCAAAAATATTTCTGAAGTTAATCGACAACATCATTGTGATCGAAAACAGATTCGGGAATGGTTAAAAAAAGAACAACAATTGTTACTCATCAAGGGTCAAAAAAATGGAAAAAAAGTTGATCGTAATTGAAGCCCACCTTCAAACTTATAATTTTCAAAACAAATTAGAAGCCCAGTGGGCTTCTATTCTGCAGAGGGGTTTAGAGCCTGGACAGTATGGTCCTTGGAAATTTTCGAGCACAGCATATTTTCCTTAACATTTTGTAATCATTTTGTAGCTTTTCAAAAGTTATATCTGTACTGAAAAAATGACGATGGTATCGGCAGCGATACTTAGGATCGTACGGACTATACTATCCCAACAATGAGTTTTGCTGTAGAACCTGAACAGTGTGATCCTTGGAAATTTTCGAGCGCAGGATATTTTACTTCACAATTTGAGATCATTTTGAAGGTCTTGAAAAGTTCTATCTGCACAGAAAAAATGACGATGGTATCAGGAGCAATACTTAAGATCCTACGGACCATACTATCACAACAATGGATTTTCCTGTAGAACCTGAACAGTGTAGTCCTTGGAAATTTTCGAGCGCAGCATATTTTACTTCACAATTTGTGATCATTTTGTAGATCTTGAAAAGTTCTATCTGTACTGAAAAAATGACGATGGTATCAGGAGCGATACTTAGGATCGTACGGACTATACTATCCCAACAATGAGTTTTGCTGTAGAACCTGGACAGTGTGGCCCTTGGAAATTGTCGAGCGCAGCATATTTTCCTTAACAATTGGTGATCATTTTGAAGGTCTTGAAAAGCTCTATCTCCCCTGAAAATATGAAACTGAATTGGTAAACTAACGCAGTTAACCTATGAGGGAGATTCCGATATTGATAATACTTCTGCCGTAGTTAGAAATGTCGAGAAGAGGTTTCGAAACATGACCTGAAAGAGGCCCAGATGCTTTATTCTTACTTAGAGGAAGATGAAATTCAATTTTATAAAGTGTTCTGAGATGATTTTTATTTAGGGCCGTTTTACGTGCAAACCCGCCCCC